GCGTGGAGAGGCGACGGCGGGCGAGGACGGGGTCGGGACGAGGGGAGGCGACTCGGCGCGCGTGGGTGGAGGCGAAGGGCAGGGCGAGGCAGGCGCCGGTGCAGGATGAGGGGCCTCGGCCGAGGCCACAGGGGACGCTGGCCGCGAGACGTCGTCCTTGGCCGAGCGCGAGGGTGAGGGCGCCCGAGCCGACGGCGTCTCGACTGGAGCAGGCTCGTCTACCGGCTCGTCGACCGGCTCGCCGACACTGACCGAGTCGTCCGCGCCGTGCGCGGGCTCAGGCGCCTCTTCGTCGTCGAGCGTCGCCTGCTCGCCCTCGGGCTGAGGTGCCCGCGAGTCCTCGTGCGACGTCTGCGTGACGGCGGCAGCGCCGTCGTCGACGTGAAGCTCGTGCGCGCGCTCGTCCTCGTGCCCTGGCGCCTGCTCCGACTCGACGGGCTGCGGCTGATCCTTGGCGAGCGTGACCTCGGGCGCCTTGAGCATGTCGGGGAACGCCTCGGCGGCGTTCTTGCGCCCTTGTTGCTCGACAGGTACTTGAGGCTTATTGCTCAGGCCGGCGCTGCGGAAGGCGGGCAAGTCCTTGTCGTGCGACGGCTTGGGCAGGTCGGCGGCGACGGGGACAGGTGCAGGTGCGGGTGCAGACGTCGACGCAGGCAGGTGCTCGGGCTCGTCGGGGGTGGCGGTTGGCGAAGTGGTTGTGCCGAGACTGTCGCGAGCTTTGGCGCCGTGGCCGGTCGAGACGCGAGGCCTGCCGGGCGAGGCGAACGAGGACGAGACGGTGAGGGGCGACTCGGCGTTGTGGTCGACGGCGGCCTGGAAGCGCTTGATGAGGTCGGATGCGCGGCCTGGACGGGATTGGTCGGGCACGGGCACTGGGCAGGCGAGACGAGAGGGGAATTAGCTCGAGACGAGGTGGGGGGAGGTTGGAGGAGGAGGAGGGGGAGAGGGTCGGGACGCACTGGTTGGGCTCTGGCGTGTGCTCGCAGCTCAGGTGAAGCACGCGTGGCTCGGGCAAGCACAGGGTGCGAGGCTGGTGGTGCCAAAGGCGAGCAAGCCGCGCGACTCGATGACCTCGACGACGACGAGGAGCGGGCAGCCCTCCCTCGCTCAGACTGGGCCGGCTTGTTGGCGAGAGGGACGGCGAGAGTACTCTTGAGACTGTCCACTCGAGGCTGCCCTGGCTCGAGCCGTAGAGACGCGAGGTTGTTTGGTCGTCGTCGCCTTCCCCTCTCGGTTGCGCTCCGCCCCCTTGCTCTCGCTCTCGCACCAGCCGCATCCACCACGGCCATGCTGCGCTCGACAGCCTCGATCGTCCGCGCCGTCCACCCCGCGACCGGTCGCGCCTCGTCCCTCGTCCCCCTCGCTCGCGCCCTCCCCTTCCCCTCATCTGCCGCACCGCGCACCCTCGCCCGCCTCGGCACCGCCACGAGCACCGCCGCCCTCCGCTTCGCCAGCTCGAGCAGCACCGAGTCGACCAACCTGCGCGCCTCGGCCGGCTCGGGCCGCGGCGGCCGCGCCGACAAGGACCAGGCCAACGCGGCCAAGCTGGAGCGGGAACGCCTGCGCAAGGAGCGCGCAAAGGACCGCGCCCAGAAGGCCAAGGACAAGGCCCTGCGCGACAAGGAGCGCGCAAAGGACAAGCGCGACAAGGAGCGCGCAAAGGCCGCCGCCGACAAGCGTGCGCACCGCCCCCCTCCCCTCTCACCGTCGTCCTGCGCGCCCCACTGACTCGCTGCCCCCTCCCCGCCTTCCCGCAGTCAAGGAGAAGGAGCGCAAGCTCAAGCTCAAGGAGAAGAAGGCGTCGGCCGTCAAGGTCAAGAAGCCTCGCACCACCTCGGCCTTGCACCCGCCCAAGGCGCCCCAGAACGCCTGGGGCATCTTCCTCACCGACTTTATCGCCGTGCGCTCGCCTTTCCCTCGACTCTCCTCCCTATGCGCCGCACACTCACACTCTCCCTTGCCTCCCTCCCTCGCCGCCCCCGCAGGACAAGAAGCGCTCGCTCGCCGACGGCGAGAAGCTCGCGTCCGTCTCGCTCCTCGTCAAGGACGCGACGCCCCTGTACCAGGCCCTGTCGTCCGAGGACAAGGCGGCCCTGCACGAGCGCAGCGAGGAGCAGCGCCGCGCCTACCCGGACATCCTCGCCGCCTGGAAGGCGACCCTCACGCCCGACATGATCAAGGAGGAGAACGCCGTCCGCACTCGCCGCCGCAAGCTCGGCCTGAGCCGCAAGGCCAACCTGCGCGTCGAGGGTCAGCCCAAGAAGGCCGTCACCGCCTTCCTTCGGTGCGTCAGGACCGTCCTCTCTCTCGCCACGACTTTGCGCCGGCCGCACGGGCTCAGAGCGCATGCGGCGGTGCTGCCAGGGTCGCTTCGCGAGCAGAGTGCACTGACTCGCCTTCTTCCACAGCTTTGCGACGGACGTTCGGGCACGAGGCGTCGACTCGGACGTGCTCCAGGGCGAGACGAGCATCCTCGAGCAGAGCAAGCTCATCGCCCAGGCGTGGCGCGCCCTGACCGACAATGAGAAGAAGGTGCGTCTCCCTCTCTCTTTCTCGAGTTGCTGTAGCCCGACGCGGGCGTCGGCGGCATTGGGGGTGCGTTCGCGAGCTGGAGCGCGCAGGGCTCACCCTCCTTTCTTTGACGCCCGCAGACCTACGTCGACGCGTACACGGCCGATAAGGAGCGCTACCTGCGCGAGAAGGCGGCCTTTGACGCCGAGCAGGCCAAGAAGGTCGACTCGCCGTCGGCGTGAGCTTGCGCACCTTCCTCCTCCCCTTCGTCCTCCTCCTGCACACGCACCCTCGCCCGTCCGACCTCGCCCTTTCTCTCACGCCTCATTCTCTGTGTCACCACATACATACCCCTTGTGCTACCTACCCCCTTCACCGTGCAAGTTGCCGTCCTGTCGTCGCGCACCTGGAATTTCACTCGTCGTCCACCACCTCCGGAGTCCTCGCTCTCGCCCATCACGAGAGGGACCGTCTCGAAAGCCGCCGATGAGTGCAGGCTGTGCAGCGAGGAGAGCAGGCTGACTGAAAGGCTAAGCGCGGCTGAGTGAGGAGACACTCGAGCTCGCCTCGGTCGGACAAGTTGCCCACGGGGAAGGTGGTTTCCGATGATGCGCTCTCTCTGCGGCGCTGACTGGCTGAAACGTTCGTTCGCTGCTCGGGCGGCAAGTCCGACTGCGCAACGGAGCGCTCCCTCGGACAGGCCGGCGTGGCCGACTCGAAGCTCCCCTCGCCTCTCCTCCTCTCTCTTCCACCTTCAGCACCTCCACCAAAACACCCAGATCCATCATGTCCAACGTTCCCGAGCAGTTCACTGGCCAGGCCGCGATGAACGAGGTGCGCCCGCTGTCCCTCTCCTCCTCGCGTCGAGCCGATCGGCCTCATCGCCACGCTCATCTCGCTGACTTTTGCCTCGTGCGTCCCCTCGTGCAGGCCGACGGCAAGGCGTACAAGACTCAGCCGTGGTCCTGTGAGTAGCTCGATCTCTCCCTCCCCCTGCGACGAGCGAGGTGTGCGACGACGAAGCGGGCTCGGCGCGACTATCTTGCCGCGTCGACTCGCTTGTCCTGGCCGTTCCTCGTCGAGCGCACGAGTCGTGCCGCACGTCGAGCGCACGAGTCGTGCCGCACAGAAGCTGACCCAGTAGCACCGTGCGCAGACACGCCCAAGAAGTGGTCCGAGGACGACATCGACATCAAGGTCGAGTGCTCGGGCGTCTGCGGCTCGTGCCTTCACACCATAAGCAACGGGTGGCCGTCGCCTACGTCGTACCCCTGCATCGTCGGTCATGAGAGTGCGTCGCCCGTTCCACATCCTGTCTGCCCTCGAGGCGCCCTCCCCCTCCCCCTCGACCTCGACCTCCCTTTCGTTCTCTACGCAGCGCTCTGACTCTCCCTCGTGCGCGCAGTCATCGGTGAGGTCGTTCGCGTCGGCGACAACGTCAAGCACCTCAAGCTCGGCCAGCGCGTCGGCGTCGGCGCCCAGGCCGGCTCGTGCCTCGAGTGCGACGCCTGCAAGGCCGGCCTCCAGCAGCATTGTTCCGGAAAGGGAGGGATGGTGGGCTCGTATCAGGGAAAATGGGAGGACGGCAGCGTGTCGCAGGGTGGCTACGCCGACTACACGCGCGTCAAGGGCCAGCTCGCCGTTCCCATCCCCGAGGGCCTCGAGTCGGAGCCGACCGCGCCTCTCCTTTGCGCCGGTGTCACCGTGTACGCGCCCCTCAAGCGCCACGGCTGCGGCCCGGGCAAGAAGGTCGGCATTGTCGGCGTGCGTCCCCTCCTTCCCTCACTCTCCTCTCTCGAGCCTTTCTCTGACCCCTCTCTTTCCCTCAGATTGGCGGCCTTGGTCACCTCGCCCTCCAGATCGCCTCGGCCATGGGTGCCGAGACGTACGCCCTGTCGCACTCGACGTCCAAGATCGACGACGCCGAGAAGCTCGGCGTCAAGCGCGACAACTTCATCGTCGCCAAGGACGTCAAGGCGACGGTCGAGAAGTGGTCCAACACGTTTGACATCATCCTCATCACCGCCCCGAGCGACAACCTGCCCCTCGACTCGTTGTACTTCAAGCTTATGGCCCACTTGGGCTCGATTATGTGCGTCCCTCCACCTCGCCGTCCCCTCTCCTCTTCTTACCCTCGAGCCGACCCTGACTTTTCTCCCCTCCCGACTCACAGCCTCTGCGCCCTCCCCGAGACCAAGCTCCCGGCCTTCTACGCCCACGCGCTCGTCGGCAAGTCGCTCACGCTCGCCGGCTCGCTCATCGGCGGCACGAGCGAGATCGCCGAGCTGTTCGACCTCGCGGCCAAGCACGACATCAAGGCGTGGACTGAGGCTCGCCCCATGTCGCAGACGACGCAGGTGCGCTCGAGCTTCCTCTCGCCCCTCCCTCATCCCTTCCCTCGCTCCTCGTTTGCTCCCCCTCTCTCGAGAATCCTGAACTAACTCCTCACGCCTCGTCGCGCCCCTCCTCACGCAGACTCTGCGGGACATGGATGCCGGCAAGGCCCGCTACCGCTACGTCCTCTCGAACAAGAAGCAGTAGAGTCCCCCGTCTCATCTCTCATCAGTAGAGCTCGACCTCGCTAGACCGCGAACGAAATAGAGAATCCCCTTGTGCAAAGTCCATCGTATTCCTCGTCCCCGCCTCTTGTTTGAGAGAGACACGCTCTGCAGGGTCGCAAGGTTGCCTCGAGAGCGACCTCGAGGAGAGATTGTGGTTCAGACTGGCTCGCGTTGCTCGCGCTCGAGCTTCTCTCACAGCTCGTGCGTCCTTGGGCCGCGTGTCTCGAGGTCACAGACGAACCTCGTTCGAGAGACGCAGCTCAGGGGCGTCGTCTTGCCCAACTTTCGTCCCCTTGTCCCTCGACGCAGTTGGCGCTCGTGGCGCGAGCGCCGAGGGCAGGCTGCGCTACCGTCCCTCTGACGCTCTCGGTCGCTCGTACGGGACTCGACAGTGTCCCCTGTGACGTGCGCGCCGAGCACGAGGGCCGTCCTGGCGCGAGAGCGTCGTCGAGAGAAGGTCGTCGACCGTCGAGTTGTGGACCGTTGCGAGGCCAGAGGCGGTCGGGCTGTCGAGCTACGCCGGTTCCGAGCCGTCTCGACACGGCGCGTGACCGAGTACGAGCTGCGGGCAGGGACGAGGGCGTCGGCGGAAAGACGAGGCTCGTGCGCCGCTCGGCTTGGGAAGGTCGTCGATTCGGTCCTCTCTTTCTTGCGCCGCAACAAGAGCCGGTCACGAGCGTCGGCAGGGCTCGCTCCCAGCCAGTACTGCGGCTCCCCCTTGGGGGCGGCTTTGACGTTCTCGTCCCTCGGCCGACCTCTGGCCCGTGCAAACGCAATGTCACTTTACTTTCTCGCACGCCGCTTCTACGGAGACCGCATGGTCTAGTTTGGTCATGACGCATCCTTCACACCACGTGTCCTTCACACAGTATGAGAACGGATGAGGTCCTGGGTTCGAGCCCCAGTGCAGTCACCAGCAGGCGCGCTCGCGCCTCTCCTTTTGCTCCTCGTGACTTCCGTACCCGCGCAAGGCCCCCTCTTTGCGCCCCCGCCGTCTGCCAAGGCCCGGCAGTGGTCCCGCAGTCCCCGCCAGGCGTGCGCTGCAGTCTACCGCTCGCCCGGCGTAGCTGCCGCCCGCCGAACCGTGCTCGCGCCTCTCCACTCGCATGACGGTTCGCGCGCTCTTCCGCTCGGCATAGCCGGTGAGTTCGATCTGGACTCATCGACGATTGCTGCGATCCCTCTTGGGCCCGCGGAAGAAGAAAAGCGCAAGCAAGAGCACCGAACGAACCAGCTCTGAGGTCCTCCAGCTCGACATGCATCTTGCCCCTCACCCGCTCTCTCGCCGTGCGTCGGGTACGGTCGCCCACGGGTACCGTCGCCCTCGAGTGGCTGGGGCACTGCCTGTCCAAGCTGGGCCCGAGAGAGACGAAGCGAAAGCGAGAGCGGCGGGGCTCGGGCCTCTCCTGGCTAGCCTTCTCAGGACGGCGGTGGACGCTCTCTGTTCCTGCTCGTTTGCCTCGAATCGACTGCGCTCTGCCAAGTCGGGGTCTGAGCTCATAGCTCGCAGCTTGGGCAAGGAGGGAAGGGAAAACGGAGCCGTTTGCTCGGCCAAAGTCGTCTCGGTCTCGCCCATTCTCTGGTCTGTCCCAGCTTCTGCTCGGCCCGAGCGTCTGCATGTACGACTCGTCGAAAGGCGAGCCAACGAGTGGCGAAAAGAAGCGAGTTCGAGCGAGTGCAGGGCCCGTTCCGAGCTGGCCTTCCCAAGTGCGCGGGCTGCTCAGGAGCCGCGGTCCCTCTCGCTGCCTTTCGCCTCGGGTCCAGCTCGCTAAACGACCCGACTCGTAAAGGCCGGACGAGCGGACGAGCTCTCGCACACACGCACACACCTTGGCACAGAGGAGAGGGGAGGACGATACTGCACTGCAACCGACGACAAAGCTCAACCGAGGCCGTACCCATCGACGGTGCCCCTCCTCCTGATCTGCGGCGCGCCGCCGCCACCGCTGCCCGACCGAGTCACCGCCTCGCTCGACCTCCTCCCGTTCTCTCCTCCGAGTGCGCCCACCTGCGCAAACGCGCTCGAGCTCGGGCTCAAGCCGCTCGTCGAGAGAGGTGGCGACGACATGGACGAGACGGCAGGTGCCGGGCGGTCGGTCGTGTTGCGGCGGACCATGCCCGGTGGTGCGAGTGGCGGGAACGTGCCGCGCGACGGGGCCGTAGGCGAGGCCGACGACGGGCCGAGGCTCGCCGAGAGGGGAAAGCGCGCGCTCGTCGAGCTGACGGGCGACGTGGGGGCGTGCGCCGCGGAGGAGGAAGGGCCGAGGGAGGCCGACAGGGAGGGGAAGCGCGAACCGGCGGGCGACGAGGGCTGCGAGCCGCCGCCCGGGTGCTGAGGGAAGAAGCGCCGCTGCTGCTGGGGGAGCGACGTCGAGGGGGATGGGAGGGGCGCGCTCGAGGGAAAGTACGAGCTGACGGGCGACACGCCGAGGCCCGGGCTCCCGACCGACCGGTCGACGGGCGAGCCCGGGTGCGACGCCGTCGACGGGCGCCGCATGTCGACCGCGCTCGTCGACGTGCGCAGGAGAGGCTGCGGGCGCGCCTTGGCCCCGCTCGCGGCCGCCACCGACGAGAACCCGCTCGAGCTGCCCTCGCCCATGCCGCCGCCGCGCAGGCCGCCGCTGCGCTCGTCAAACTCGAACGTCGGGCTCGGCGAGCGCGGAATGTCGTGCCGCGGCGCCGACTTGTCGCTCATCGGGAGCTGGGCCGACAGGGTCGCCGGGCGCAGGGCCGACGGGATGAGGCTAAAGGCCGACGAGAGGGCGGCCTTGACCATCGACGAGCGCTGACGCTGGTGGCGGCCGAGTGCAGGCGACGAGGTCGGCGTCGGCTTCGAGACCGAGATCGAGGGCGAGCCCGGGGTCGGGGAGGAGCGGCGCGACTCGCCTGCGGACGGGTCGAGCAGGGTCAATTCTCGGGCCACGTGCAGAGGAGAGAGAGAGAGCGAGGGCGCACCGGCAGAGGGAAGGACATTGTCGTTGGCCGAGAGCGAGAGGAAGAGGTAGAACGGGACGAGCCAGACGCAGACGGCAAAGTAGGTCGCCACGTCGAGGAAGCTCTCTGGCCCGGCTCCGCCTCCCGCCGCGCCGCCGTGGCCGGCGCCGTACCTCGTCCTGCGCGAGTCGTACGCGTTGTAGTGCGTGTACCGGCCGTGGAGGGCGGCCGCGTCCGAGCGGGCGCTAAAGTGGCGGAACGACAGGAAGTGGGACGCGAGGACGAGGATGCACGAGGCGATAAAGGTCGGCGACGTGAGCGAGATGGTCGGCCAGGTGCGCGAGAAGTTCTGCAGGCTGTGTCGAGGGTGGCAGCAGATGAGCTGGCCGAGCCCGTGCGGGACTCGAGAGACGAGGGACGCACTAGACGAGGTGGGCGAGGATGCCGACGGCGACGAGGTGCCAGGGCAGGCCGTCAACCGAAAAGAGGAGCACAAAGAGAAGGACCTCGACCTGTGCACGGCGGGTCAGCTTGCTTGCGAGAGAGAGAGAGAGAGGCGCGGCGGGGAGAGTGGGAACCGGGGGACGCACATAGACGAGCCGCTTGCCGACCGACTTTGCGAGGCCCGAGTGCTCCTCGATGACCTCTGCGACGTACAGGAGCCCGCTCGCTGGAGGCAGGAGGGGGCTGTGAGCACCGTGGCGAGCCGAACGACGCGTCGATGAGGGGGAGGGGGGAGGGGAGGCTCACCGAGCGACAAGAGGAGGAAGAGGAAGCCGGCTGCGAGCGCGACCCAGCTGAGCGAGTGCAGCACTGACCACCCTTGAAGCATGGCGGGGCTGCTTGGGGGAGGACGAGGAGCGGAAGTGAGGTGGCCAGGGGCTGCAGACGCGCTTGCGGCCAAGGAGATCCGGCGACGCTCTCGCTCTCGATCGGGGCCAGAGGGGGCTCAAAGGTGCTTGCAGTGGTACGGTGCGCGTGCAGGACCGACTCGATCACGAGCTGGCGAGAGCGCAGCGGCGACGGATCCCGCGAGCCACGACTTCAAGTTGAAGGGGAGAGACGGAGCTTGGCCTGGTTCCCTCTCGCCCCTCGACTCGCACGAGGCGCAGCCACCCGCCAGGCTCCCTCTCTCGACTCGGTACACCACTGCGAGCCACCCCTTGTCGCTCCCCCCTCGAGCCAGCGCTCCCACCGCGCCAGCTCCCACCGACGACCCTCCACCTCGTCGTCGTCCCTCAACCCAGCACCCGCTCGCCCTCGCCACTCGCCAGCCACCAGGAGCAGCGGCCCTCCTGCCATGGCCCACGACCCGGCCTCGCTCGGCGACCTGACCGCCCTCCTCAGCTCGTCGCCCTCGCCCGCCGCCACGGCCGTCGCCGTCCCCTCTGCCGACTCGCTCGTGCACGCCCTCGCCGCCCGCTACCGCCTCGACCTCGCCCACACCTACTGCGGCGACTCGACCCTCGTCACCCTCAACCCGAACGAGACAAAGGCCGACGTCTCCGAGGCGTCCAAGGCCGAGTACGAGGACCGCGCATACCGCAGGCGCACCCCGGCCGGCGGCGACGACGTTCACCCGCACCCGTACGACCTCGCGTGCCGCGTCTACTACACCCTGAGGCGCACCGGCGAGTCCCAGTCGATCGTCTACACGTGCGTCCTCGCCTCGCCTCCCCTCTCTCTCTCGCTCGATTCCAGACTGACCCTCTCCCTCTCTCGCGGCGGTCACAGCGGCGCATCGGGCGCAGGTGCCTCGGCCCAGCAGCAGCTCGTCACGGCCCAGCTCCTCCGCCTGTCGACCTCGGGCAAGAAGGACACGCGCATCGCCGAGCAGGTCCAGGCGCTCCAGACGCTCCTCGCCTCGTTCGGCTCGGCAAAGACGGCCGCCAACCCGAACGCGACCCGGTTCTCGTCCCTCGTCGAGCTCCACATCTCGGCCGCGGGCAAGCTCGCCGGCGCCAAAGCGCTCGTGTACGGCCTCGACCGCACCCTGTTCGCCAAGCTCGGCAAGGAGGAGCGCACCTTCCACGTCCTGTACCAGCTCGTCGCCGGCGCGACCCGCGACGAGCGCGCCGAGCTCGGCCTCCTCGACGACGCGGCCGACTACCGCCTCTTCTCCAAGTCGGCGTGCTACCGCCTCCCGCACGGCGCGCCCAACGCCGACGACTCGATCGCGTTCGACGAGGTGCGCGCCGCGTTCAAGGTCCTCGGGTTCAAGCCTCGCCACGTCGCGTCCATCCTGCGCCTCCTCGCCGCCATCCTCGCGCTCGGCAACCTCGAGTTTGCCGAGCACCCCGAGGACCCGTACGACTTCCAGTCGGACCCGGCGTGGGTCACCAACCGCGACGTCCTCGACCACGCCGCGTCGCTCCTCGGCGTCGCCGGCGACGACCTCGAGCGCGCGTTGACCAACCGCGTGCGGTGGGTCCGCAAGGAGATGATGGCGACCATCCTGCGCGCCGCCGGCGCCGACCAGCAGCGCGACAGCCTCATGGCGGCCCTGTACTCGATCCTGTTCGCCTTTGTCGTCGAGACGGCCAACCACAAGCTGTTCCCGGGCGACGACGCCGTCGCCGAGCTGCAGCGCCAGGGCGGCGCCTCGATCCTCCACCTGAGCACGCCCGGCTTCTCGAACCACTCGCCGTCGCGGCCCGGCTCGCGCTCGTCGCTCCTCGTGCGCGCCCTCGACGGCTTCGACGACTTTGTGCACAACTACCAGGTCGAGCTCGTGCGGTACTGGTGGACCGAGCAGGCGTTCGACGGCGACGGCGGCATCGCCGCTCGCGCTCAGGAGGACGGCGTCCGCATCGGCGACGTCCTGCCCTCGGACGACGGCACGGCGCGCATCGAGCTCCTGCGCGGCGGGCGCCTCGGCGGCAAGGCCGACCGCAAGCCGGGCGGCATCCTCGGCGGCCTCGCCAAGACGGTCGCGAGCCTGCGCAAGGGCACGCAGCCGCACGACGCCAACGACGAGCTCCTCGAGGGCATGCGCGACCATTTTGGCGCGCACGGCAGCTTTGCCGCGTACCCTGGCGGGCCGGGCGCTCGCACCTCGTTCGCCGTCACGCACTACGGGCACCAGCAGGTGACGTACGACGGGTACCAGTTCGTCGAGACGGACGCCGACGCGCTCGACCCCGAATTTGTCGCCCTCTTGCGCAACGCCGCCGACCCGTTCGTCGCCAAGCTCGTCAGCGGGCCGAGCCTCGCCGCCGAGGTGCACCCGCTCGACGACAACACGATCGTCGCCGCCCAGGTCTCGAGCATGCCGCTCCGCCACCCGAGCCCGGTCAAGGCCTCGAGGGCCTTCGTCGAGGCCGAGAGCGGCGGCGACGACGGCGCCGGCGCGACCGACTACACGTCGCCGCTCCTCGACCCGCTCGCGATCCACCCCGTGTCGGCCCAGGTCAACGCGACGGCGGCGCACCTCCTCGGCTCGATCCTCGCCCGCACCCAGCAGTGGTCGGTCGTCGCCCTCGTGCCCAACACGACCGGCGCCTCGTCCCAGATCGACGCCCGCCTCGTCAAGGCCCAGGTCGCCGCCCTCCAGCTCCCCGAGCTCGCCGCGAGGCGCAACCGCGTCGACTGGGTCTACGACGCCGAGCTCGCCGACTATCTCCTGCGGCACGGCGTCGGCGTGTCGGCGACCGAGAGCACGCACGACGCGGCCGACGCCTTCCTGCGCGACTTTGGCCTGTCGAGCGCGAGGGGCGACTACGCCCTCGGCAACTCGCGCGTGTGGCTCACGTACCGCGCGTTCAAGGTCCTCGAGGACCGCCTGCGCGAGCACGAGCCCGCCGAGCACCGCGAGGCGGCGCTCGCCGCCGCTCGCTCGGGGACGACGACCGCCGCCGCCGCCGCCGTCCCTCGCCGCCGTCACAGCGACGAGGACGCCGACGAGAAGGGCTACGACGGCGACGAGGCGGCCGTCCCGGGCTCGCCGGGCATGCTCGGCTACCTGCCCGACATGGGCCCGAGCAGGAGCACGGTCAACGTCGGGTACGCCGAGGGCGGCGACCACGGCGGCGCCGGCGAGAGCGTCGAGGACCTCCTGTACGGCGGCGGCGCACCTGCCGCGACGACGACGACGCCGGGCTACGTCCCGTACACGCCGGCCGGGCTCGGCGCGACCAACGCGTTCGACACGGTGCGCTCGGGCCTCGGCGGGTACGGCGGCGGCGGCGGCGCGTCGCCGCTGCGGCCACCGGCCGCGCCGTACATGCGCCACGGCGCGAGCGGGTACGGCAGCGGGTCGTTCGGGTACGCCGCAGGAGGAGGCGGCGGCGGGCTCGGTCACGGCGCGAGCGAGAGCCAGATCTGGGGCCACGACAAGCCGACGCCGGCGGGCTTTGGCGCGCCGCCGCCCGGCGCGCTCGGTGGGGGAGGAGCAGGGGGAGGGTATGGCAACGGCGGCGGCGGCAAGGAGGGCGTGCTCGACCGCGAGGGCAACCCGCAGGAGGGCGACGGCAAGGCGATCGAGGAGGTGCCGACGAGTCGCGCTCGCCGTGTGTGGGTCGGGACCGTGTGGGCCCTCACGTGGTGGGTCCCGACGTTCACGTTGACTTACATCGGTCGCATGAAGCGGCCCGACGTCCGCATGGCCTGGCGGGAAAAGGTGCGTCGCCGGACCGGCCCTTCTTCCTCCCTTTCTTCCTCCCTCGCCATCTCCCTTCTCGACCTGACCTCTCTCTTCCCGCCACCTGCAGCTCGCACTTTGCATGCTCATCTTCTTCTTCTGCGGCGTCGTCATCTTCTGTGCGTCGCACGGCCCCCTTCCTCTCTCCCCCCCTCTCCTCGACTGACTCGGTCTCTCGCCGTCGCAGACATCATCGGCTTCGGCAAGATCCTGTGCCCCAACTACGACAAGGCCTGGAACGAGCAGGAGCTCGGCTACCACTCGGGCTCGACCGACTTCTGGGTCGGCGTGCGCGGCAACGTCTACGACCTCACCAAGTTCTACAAGG